TATATACTAACGATGAAAAATCTGAAAGTGAAATCAAGAAAACACTCCCATTTACCATTGCAACAAAAAGAATAAAATATCTAGGAATAAACCTACCTAAGGAGACAAAAGACCTGTATGCAGAAAATTATAAGACACTGATGAAAGAAATTAAAGATGATACAAACAGATGGAGAGATATACCATGTTCTTGGATTGGAAGAATCAACATTGTGAAAATGACTCTACTCCCCAAAGCAATCTATAGATTCAATGCAATCCCTATCAAACTACCACTGGCATTTTTCACAGAACTAGAACAAAAAATTTCACAATTTGTATGGAAACACAAAAGACCCCGAATAGCCAAAGCAATCTTGAGAACAAAAAATGGAGCTGGAGGAATCAGGCTGCCTGACTTCAGACTATACTACAAAGCTACAGTAATCAAGCAATCCAAAATGGGCAGAAGACCTAAACAGACATTTCTCCAAAGAAGACATACAGATGGCTAAGAAGCACATGAAAAGCTTCTCAACGTCACTATTAGAGAAATGCAAATCAAAACTACAATGAGGTATCACCTCACACCAGTTAGAATGGGCGTCATCAGAAAAATCAACAAACAACAAATGCTGGAGAGGGTGTGGAGAAAAGGGAACCTTCTTGTACTGTTGGTGGGAATGTAAATTGATACAGCCACTATGGAGAACAGTATGGAGGTTCCTTAAAAAACTAAAAATAAAATTGCCATATGATCCAGCAATCCCACTACTGGGCATATACCCAGAGAAAACCATAATTCAAAAAGACACATGCACCCCAGTGTTCATTGCAGCACTATTTACAATAGCCAGGTCACAGAAGCAACCTAAATGCCCATTGACAGACAAATGGATAACGAAGCTGTGGTACATACATACAATGGAATATTACTCAGCCATAAAAAGAAACGAAATTGAGCTATCTGTAATGAGGTGGATAGACCTAGAGTCTGTCATACAGAGTGAACTAAGTCAGAAAGAGAGAGACAAATACCGTATGCTAACACATATATATGGAATTTAAGGAAAAAAATGTCATGAAGAACCTAGGGGTGAAACAGGAATAAAGACACAGACTTACTAGAGAATGGACTTGAGGATATGGGTAGGGGGAAGGGTAAACTGTGACAAAGCGAGAGAGAGGCGTGGACATATATACATTACCAAATGTAAGGTAGACAGCTAGTGGGAAGCAGCCACATAGCACAGGGAGATCAGCTCGGTGCTTTGTGACTGCCTGGAGGGGTGGGATAGGGAGGGTGGGAGGGAGGGAGACGCAAGCGGGAAAAGATATGGGAACATATGTATATATATAACTGATTCATTTTGTTGTGAAGCTGAAACTAACATACCATTGTAAAGCAATTATACTCCAATAAAGATGTTAAAAAAAAAATCATGCTCCCTGACTTCAGACTGTACTACAAAGCTACAATAATCAAAACACTAAGGTACTGACACAAAAACATACAAATAGATCAATAGAACAGAGAGCCCACAAATAAACTTGTGCACTTATGGCCAATTAATCTATAACAAAGTAGGCAAGAATATACAGTGGAGAAGACAGTCTCTTCAACAAGTGGTGCTAGGAAAACTGGACAGCTACATATAAAGAATGAAATTGGAACGCTCTCTAACACCATATACAAAAATAAACTCAAAATGGATTAAGGACCTAAATGTTAAGACCAGAAACCATAAAAATCCTAGAAGAAAACATAGGCAGAACACTCTTTGACATAAATCATAGCAGTATTTTTTTGGATCTGTTTCCTAAAGCAAAGAAAATAAAAGCAAAAACAAACAAATGGGACCTAATTAAACTTAAAAGCTTTTTGCACAGCAAAGGAAATCATCAACAAAACGAAAAGACATCCTACTGCATGGGAGGAAATATTTGTTAACGATATGACCAATGAGGGGTTAATATTCTAGAATACCAATATATAGTTCATACAATTCAACATAAAAAAAAAAAACCTGATTAAAAAAGGGGCAGAAGACCTGAATAGACGTTTTTTCCAAAGAAGACATACAGATGGCCAACAGGCACATGAAAAGACGCTCAACATCACCAATCATCAGGGAAATGCACATCAAAACCACAGTGAGATATCACTTCACACCTGTCAGAATGGCTATCATCAAAAAGAACATAAATAATAAATACTGGCGAGGATGTAGAGAAAAGGGAACCCTTGTACACTGTTGGAATGTAAACTGGTGCAGCCACTGTGGAAAACAGTATGGAGGTTTCTCAAAAAACTAAAAACGGAACTACCATATGACCCAGCAATTCCACTCCTGGGTATATATACAAAAACAACCCCAAAACACTAATTCAAAAAGATTCATGCAACCCACCGTTCACTGCAGCATTATTTACAACTGATGTGAAAGCATCAAGATGTGGAAGCAATCTAAGTGTCCAACAACAGATGAATGGATAAAGAAGGTGTGGAACATATATACAGTGGAATATTAGTCATAGAAAAGAACAAAATGTTGCCATACGCAACAATACGGATGGACTTGGGAGGGCATTATGCTAAGTAAAATAAGTCAGACAGAGAAAGACAAATACTGTGATATCACCTATATGTGGAATCTAAAAGATACAACAAACTAGTGAATATAACGTAAAAAAAACAGACTCACAGAACAAACTAGTGGTGACCAGTGCGGAGAGGAAAAGGAGGAAGGGAAAGATGGGCAGGGGAGTAAGAGGTACAAGCTATTAGGTGTAAAGTTAGCTACAAGGATATTTGTACAACACGAGGAATATAGCCAATATTTTATAATAACTATAAATGAAGTTCAATCCTTAAAAACTGGGAATCACTATACTATACACCTGTAACTCATATAATACTGTACATCAGTCACACTTAAAAAAAAGGAGAATGGAGGAGGCTACAACTGGGACTGCTGTTAAGCAGCGCAAGGCAGTAACAGAACAAAAACACGTGGCGCAGAGCCCTCCCGGCTGCACCCACCCTGGAAGAAACGACAGCAGTGCTGCCGGTCTGGGAGGCCCTGAGCCAGTGTGCAATGGAGGGGCGGCAGCCCTGCCGGGACTGGGGAGGCTGGGCCCAGGTCCTGGCGTTGCCACCCGCCCCCTACCCAGGGCAGCTCAGGCCGGCCCCCACGGGCACCTGCTCAGCAACCCAGCGCACTGCGCGTGGATGGGACACGGACGGCCATCGGCTTTGCTATTCGAAGGCGGTGTGTGGAGGGAACGGTGAGGCCATGACGAAGGCAGTCAGCTCAGCGTGTGGCTGGAGAAGGGCTCCAACGGTCCTCCCGTTTCAGAGAAACTGAGTCACGAGGTAGTGCGTGCCCCACCCCCGCATACCCAGTCTCGGAAGGAGCGGCACGCTGGCGCCACCAAGCGGCCCCTGGGGCGGCGCCCCGCGTGGTCTTGACCCACGTGGCTGCAGGGGGCGGTGCCTGTCCGGAGGTGGGTGGGTCCCCAAGGTCGCGGGCCTGCCTGGAGCACAGGCCACCCTCAGGCAGCCGGCCCCCGCCTCCCCAAACCTCCTCCACGTAACCCACGTCGAAGAGTGGAGCAACCCCCGTCTTGGGGAAACTGAAACACAGGATAGTGGAGGAATTTGTCCAAACAACACACATCAGCAACAGAGCCGGGACGGGACCCCAGAACGCGCAGCCTCCGGTCCTGGCACTGGTCCCTCAGGGCAGGGGGCAAGCTGGCTCCTCTCCCCCTTCAAGTGGGCACGATGCAGCCACTGCCTCTGACTGTTCTGAGGGCCAAAGGTGCCCTTTAAACCCCAGATGCTTCCTCTCCCCACCCCGACTGTCCGCCCCTCCACACAAATCTGTCCTGGGCCTACCAGCTGTCTGGAGGGAAGCCTGGGTTCCCAGTCGTGGGCCGTGTCCCGCCAGGACCCCTCCTCCCACCGCAGGGGCTGCGATGGCGGCACAGACGCTACTTGGAGGCGGCGGTGGGGCAGTCGCTCTGCCCTCATCTTTAATGGCCAGTGCGGTACAGTTAGTGGACGGGTGGACACCGGACGTAGAGGGGCAGGGTGGTCACAGCGGTGCCGTGGGTACCTGTCCTCCCCGTGGAGAAGCCCGTCTTTGGCAGGATGATCTGGGAACGCCCCCAGCTCAGGGCACCGAGCCAGCCCGGACCTCTGGGGGGACCCCACCCCTTCCTACTTGCCAGGGACTCCGGCATGTCTGTCCCTCCTTGGGCCTCCCTGGACAGGGCTCAAGGCCTAGGTCACAGGTTGACTTTAGCCAGGGTGTGGGCCCTGCTTTGCGGCCCCCAAACTGTCCCCCTCCTGTATCACAGGTGGAGGATCTGGAGAAGTCATCGGGGGTCCCCAGGCAGGCACAGACCCCCAGGCCTGTGGCATCAGGTGGGTACCAGGGTGCACGTGGGGTGCTGGCATGGGGTGGGTGCACCCAGGCCAGCACCAAAGCTGGGGTTGCAGAAAGGCCAGCGCAGACCGTGGTCTGAAACCATTCAGACCCAGAGCTTACAGCTCCTTCACGGCAAACGCATTTTGCTGGGGAGACCCAGCGTTTAAGAACGGGGACGGGGGAGGCCTGGGGGCGAGGGGTCCCCAGTGAAGGAGGTGCTGAGGATGGTGTGGCTGGGGCCATGGGGCCCTCAAAGCAGAGCCAGGTGAGGGTCACCAGAAGGGGACACCAGCTGGTGGTCTGTCACTGTCCTGGCTGGCACTGGGACCACCAGACACACGCAGGTGGCAAAGGGCGGCGTGAGACGGAATGCGGAACACAGTGCTGGCGGGACCCTGTGGCAGCCACACGTCCAGGCCTCCGAGAACTTGGCAGAACCTTGGGGCCGGAGTGAGGGCAGGTGGGCCCAGAGAAGGTGGCGGTATTGGCACGGGGAGGAGGCCGGGGCCCCGCAGGCACTGCAGGCAGGGGTGGGGAAGGGCCCCGGCAGCCCTCCCTGGGCAGGGCTGGGGGCCCAGGCCTGGCTCAGAGGCCAGCGGGGAAGGAAGCGTTGGCGGCGGAGCGGTCGGGGCAGGTGCCATGGGAGTCCCGTGTGAGGCTGTAGGTGCAGTAGGCCACGGCCGAGCCCAGCGTCAGCCCCGTCATGTAGGACACGGTCATGGTGTTCCCTGCGGACAGGACCGGACCTCAGCTGGCGGGAGGGGCCCTGGGGGGAGGGGGGCCACGGCGAGGGCTGGAGCCGAAGCCCTAGCTTCTTAGGTGTGAAGCAGTGACCACGGCCAGCTCCCACCCGGGAGGTGGCGCCCCAGGACTGTTGCACCCTGACTGAAAGTGCCGGGCGCTCCAGGCCTCGCCTGCTTCTGCTTCTCTCCAGCCTCCTACCTCCAACTGCTTCCTCATCATGGACCACTTAGGATGTCTGCTGGGCTTCCTGAACCCACTGTGTCCAGAACCCCCCTCCAGTGCCCCTTCCCACACGGCCCCCTCCCCATCTCACTTGACGGCAATCCAACCTTCTTGCCCTGAGCAGCAGGCCCCCCTTGGGAGTCCTTCTTGCCCCACCCCCCGTCCTTTTCTCACACTCCATCTCTCAGTCCATCAGCTGGCCCTGTGGGCCCTGCAGTCAAAATGAATCCAGAATCCAGCACTTTCTTCCAGGCCCCTCCCACCTGTTTACTACTGCACTGCCGCCCCCTGCCCCAGGGCCTTTGCACATGCTATCCCCGCCACTCCGATCACTCTTCCCTTGCATTGTCACGTGGCCCCTCACTACTTTCTCCAGGTCTCTGCTCAAGTCACCTCCTCAGTGAAGCCTTCCCAGACTGCCCTGCTTCCATTGTGAACCCCCTACCACGACTCCCTCGTCCCATTAATCTGTTTTACATTCCTCAACCACGCTCATCACCATCCAACACATTACATCATTTTGTTGTCTCTTTGTCACCTCCGGACTGTCAACCCCACAAACACAGGGATCACTGTTTTGTCACCACTGTGTCCCCAGAACCTAGAACAGTGCCTGGTGCACGGTAGGGGCTCACCAAGTAGCTGTGAGATGAACGAGGGGGTAAGTGGTTGGCGAACGTCCCCAAGCTACGAGCTCCGAGGCTGACTTGACCCTGGGACCCAAAGGTAGCTTCTTGCTGTGTGGTCTCGACTTCTACGGGCCTGGGTTTCCCTGCCTGGCAGTGGACAGTCCTGCAGGCAAGCAGGGCGCGGGCCGAGCAGGGCCTTACCTGCTAGCTCCCGCTGCTTGGGGCTCACTTTGCCCGCCGCCAGGATCATGGGCACGCTGCCAAAGTAGCCGTTGCTGATGCCCATGAGTAGAGAGAGGATGCAGGGCCAGGCCGGGTGGCGGAGCGCGGGCGTGCTGCTGGGGTAGACGCACAGGATGAAGAGGGGGATGAAGACCACACGGAGGCAGGAGCAGGCCAGCAAGTGGGTGCCCTGCCAGTCCATGGGCAGCGCCGCCAGGATCTGTGGGGAGACAGACGTGTGGGCCCATGCCACTCCCCTCGCGTCTTCCCGGCAGCCTCCAGACACACCCCTATCCCTAGACACTCCTGGCTCAGGCTGTGTCCCCGTCCTTTCCCACCTTTGTCCACCAAACCCCTCATATGGCGACACATAGTCCTTGCCGTGTGCCCGGCACCCAGCTAAACACGACACACATGCCCCTGTTCAGCCTGCACAGCACCCTCACCGGGTGGGGCTCTTGACGTTATTTGAGAAACGAGGATACAGAGGCCCAGAGGATCAGGCCCACCTGCATAAACACGTACGAAGCGGCAGCAACTGAACCCACTAACTAAGCTTTGCTCCCTCGGGAAGCACAGACTCGAGCTTCTCAGACCTCCCAGCTGTGTGACCCCAAGCAGATGGCTTTCCCTCTCTGAGCCTTGCGTTTTTCTACAGAAGACCAACGACAGGCCAGCCATTTCTGGGTGCCCTTCTCCGTGTGCCCCCACCTGTGCTCAACTAGTGAGTGTGGAGCAAGCGCCGCCTCCCCCAACTGCTCCCAGCTGCGGTCTGGACCATGGCTCTGCTCCCGCCCTCCCCACCCGGAGCCACGTGCATCCTCAGCTTGGGGCCTGCGCCTCCCCGGGGACCCTCCCCGCGGCTCCCGCAGGGACCCTGGCGTCTGCTGCCCCCACCCACGGCATCCTCCCCCAGGGCCGGGAGCGTTGGCGGGGGCGCCCACCTTGCCCACGAAGTCAGAGAGGTTGAACACGGCCATGATGAGAATGGGCAGCCACTCGCCCAGGATGCAGTGGTGGATCTCGGACTCGAGACCCGGAAACAGGCACAGCGTGATGAAGTAGGTCACGGCAATGGACAGCATGTCCGCCCAGATGACGCGGGCCACCACGTAGCGGTGCAGCAGCAGGGCTGTGGGCGGCCGGCCAGGTCAGGGGGCCCCGGCCCCCCGGAACACCCCCTGCCCTCCGCGCGCAGACAAGACACGGGACGCCGGGGCCCCGCCCGCCCCACCTCGGAAGGAGGGCCAGCTGCGCCTGATTCTCGGCCGAGGCACATCAAAGCGCGTGTAAGCTCCCCCGCCGCCGGTCACCTCGTGGGCTGGGCTGTCCTTCGGGGACCCGCCGTTGGCCAGGCCTGGGCCCTGGTGCTCCTGGAGGGGGTACAGGGTGGGACGCGTTTCGGTGAGAGCCCCCCGCACGCTCCTGCCGCCCGCTTCCTCGCCGTCCAGCAAACACGCCAAGCTCCTCCCACGCCCCGGAGCCTCTGCGCGTGCGCTTCCCTCTGCCCACCCCACCCCCACCCCCCGCCCCGCCCCGCCCCCATGCCTTTCGTGTGGATCCTCACACCCCTCCGCACGGCTCAGGTCTCAGCCCAGAGCCACTCGCGGACCCTCCGTGACCATTAAGGGGGCCCCGGTTTCTGACGTGGGCCTTGTCATAGCTGGCCTCCCTTTGCCCGGCCTCTGGCTCCGCGCAGTGTCCGGGGCGCCCCAGCTCCCCAGGATGGCTCCGGGCGGGCCTGCGGGGGAGGCCACAGGTGTGGGCCATCACACCGGGGGCGTGGGGAGGTTAAGGCCTCAGGTGTGGGCTGTCACAGCCAGGGGGCCTCAGGCCTCAGGTGTGTGGTGCCACCAAGGGATGAAACCTTGGTCCACGGAACGAAGCAGGGCCCGTGGGTAGGAGCCTCGGGCCACAGGAGGAGCTGGAGCGACAGCGACAGCGACAGCGGGGCGCGGCTGGAGGAGCTCGGCTGGGACGGGGCGGCGGCCGTGCCGGGCCTCCCGGCTCCCTCCGCCGACCTCGCGACTTACAAAGTGCACGTCCTCGGCGGCCACGTCGTGGTGCACGCGGTAGCCGGCCCTGTGGCCGGGGCGGGGCCGCGCCGTGTGGTAGAGCACGAAGCGGCTGCCCCGCACCAGCAGGTGCAGCAGGAAGCAGATCAGCTCCAGGCCCGCGGAGACCAGGAAGAAGATGAGGGTGCCGGCCCGCTCGTCGGGCAGCAGCAGCTTCGTGAGGATGCGGCTCAGGGAAACCATCACGCCCGCCGTGCCTGCGGGGGGAGGGGCCGTGATGCGGGAGACCCCGCCCACTCGACCCCGCCCCGCCCCGCCCAGCAGCCCTGGGACACGGACACGCTGTGGCCGTCCACAGGACGCGCCCGCGCAGACCGCCCCTCTCTGGCCCCTGCGCCCGGCTCACACACACCCCACCCCAGGCGCACTGATCACGTGCCTGCTGTGTGCCCGGCACCGTCCGCCCTGAGGACACAAGTGGGGACGACGCATGCGGGCCCTTCCTTCTGGGGCTCGTTGGGGAGAGACCCCAAACAGGTCGCAGAAAAACACCAATGATTGTGCAGGATCTGGGGGGACAGGCAGAGACGAGGGGGCGACTATCCATTGGCAGAGGGCGGGCATGAGCTCTACGTGTTTGTGTTTGCGGAGCTGAAAGGAAGTGGTGGGCTTGGAACCAGGTGGGTGGGGTCCTAAGGTCACAGGGGAAGGGGCTGGGGGTCACGGCAAGCAGGGTACCTTCCCAGAACCAAACTCCACAGACGCGAGGCTTGGAGCCCTGGGGGCACCTCGTGGGCCTCACCGTATGTAGAGGGTACAGAGTACCCCAAAGGGGAGAAATGGGGCCCAGAGTCCACCTGAGTCCTGCCCCACAGCACGGCTGAGCCTGGCCCATCCAGGCCCGGAAGGAAGACTGAGGACATCTGGACGAGGTGCTCCGAAGTGCTTGCGGCTGGGCTGAGGGTGGGGCGGCCCCCGTGCTGGAGGGCAGCAAGACAAGAGGGGGAGTCGGCTGCTCGGGCTGGGGCGCAGGGATCACCCCGGAAGGCAGGTCCACACGACTTGCAGGGACTTAGAGCACTGGGTGTCGGGTAGGTCTCAGGTTTGAGCAAGGGGGTGCCCTTCACTGAGCAGGGGCCGGTGGGATGACGTGTTGGGCTTGGGAAAGGGAGTCTGAGTTGCCAAGTGGGGGTGGGGCTCTGAGGAGAGCTTGGTGCTGAGGGCCGGCACTTGACATCACGGGTGTAGATGAGCTGCCCTGCACACACATGCACACACGAAACGCACGCCTTGCACAGACGCTGTGAGACACTCGAGACCCATGCTCAGAGTGTGGCACATGCTCCTCACATCACAGAGGACTCTGCACCCAAAGAGACCATGCCTATCACAGCCTCATCCCTCCTGTCTGGGAGTCCGGCCCCCCACCAGCCAGGCGATCGCCAGCCCCGCCTCGGTCCCAGGAAGAGGGTCCCAGGGCCTAGGCAGCTCTGGGGTCTGCAGATACTCACTCTCCCCCGTCATCACCCCCTGCGTGTACCTCTTGGGCAGCATCCCCGTGTACCCATAGAAGCTGGATTGCTGCACTTGAGAGAGAGAGAGAGAGAGAGAGAAGTAACCATGAGATACCACTTATCACCTGTTTGCTTGGAACAGGATTCAGAAGTTTGAGAACACTGTTGGCAAGGGTTGCTGGGAAAGGACACTAACACCACTGGGGGCAGAGGGACCCTGTCCAATCCCCTCGCGGGGTGCGGTGGAAACAGCACCGCCCCCTGCACAGCACAGTCCTGCCTTCGACATTCCCGCCCCGGGGCTGGCCAGGCTCCCCAACCTCCTCTGGTCATTGACACCCAAGCAGAAATGACACGCGTCACTCCTGGACCAGGTAGGAAAAGCCCACATGGTCTTCTGGTCTGTCTTTCCCCAGGGGCGGCCACAGAAGAGGCCATGTGTTACAGACGGGGAGCCACCAGCAGTCCGAGTGAGTGTGGAAATAACCCCACCGACACGCTGGACGTGCAGCAAGGGCCAGAAATAAGGCCGGTTCCGAGAAGCCACTGAGATCTCTGGGCTCGTTTGTTACCACAGCATAACGTCTCGTCCTGACCAACAAGACAGAAGTGCGGCAGTATCTGGGGAAAATGAAAACGTACTGGCTCAAGCCCTATGGTCTAGTGACTCCACGCCTGGAAGTAAACCCTGGAGCAGGGATGACATACTAGCATCTCCTTCCTGGTGGGGTTACCAGCACTTTTTTTTTTTTTTTTTTTTTTAACGAAATAGAACAGAGCAGACCTGAGTACAAAGCCTGGATTGAGAATATTATTTCACAAAGCCTTGATTTCATTTATAAACACACACACACACACACACACACACACATGTGTGCTGGGTCATAATGTGAAATGTATCTCTTTCTGGAAGTCACGATCAACAGAACAATTGGCCTGGACCTTTGCAAACATCACTGCCACAGAAGACAGAGAAAGGCTGAGGGCCTTTCGGATTAAAGGAGACTAAAGATGTGACCAGTGATGCAATGTGTGATCCTGGGCTGGGTCCTGGGTCAGAAAAACCAAACGCTGTACAGGACATTACCGCGACAAACAGTAAAATGATTATGGATTGTAGATCTGATAATAGTATTGTATCAATGTTAAATGTCCTGATTTTGGCAATTGTAAATGTGGTTCTAGAAGAGATGTCTTAGGTTTCGCTGTTAAACACCCTGAACTGTTACCATTTAGGCAAAGAAGCATGATGTCTGCAAGTAATTCCCAAACGGTTTAAGGACAAAACATACATTTTCTATTTATATATATTTAGGGGAAATTTCATATATATACATATACTTTAGAAGGTGGAGGAGGTGGACTTCCCTGGTGGTCCAGTGGCTAAGACTCCGCGCTCCCAGTGCAGGGGGCCCGGCTTCGATCCCTGTTCAGGGAACTAGATCCCGCATGCCGCAACTAAAGATCCCACACTTGGCAACGAAGATCCTGCATGCCGCAACTAAGACCCAGCGCAGCCAAATAAATAAATACATATTTTTTAAAAAGATTCTTATTAAAAAAAAAAAAAAAAAAAAAAGGGGGGGGCAGGGGGGGGGGAAAGAGAAAGCCCAAAAAGGAAAA